TGTCTGTCTGTCTGTCTGTCTGGATCTTTCTTGCTCTCGTCTGCAGCTTACTTGCTCTTTTTCCCAATTTCTTGAAGGAGTCCACAAACCACTCTTTTGCGTTCCGATGCCTTTTCTCCCTAAGAAAGGTCTCCTGCCTCTACTTTTGGGTAATTTGTTTGAGCCACTCTGTCTTGTTGCTTTGTGTGAATGTAGATTGGTGTCTCCTCGACATCACGATGTTGTATTTGTATTTAATTGACCATTGCATGTTGGTGAGACCTTAGCCGCTCACCAGCCTGTCACTTGGAGGGTGTAATGCAGAGGATGAGTGTGTGCACAGTTCTGTTTTATGTCCATAAGCATGGTTGAGGGCAGGTTTGGCTCATGTTTCGGGCAATTTTTGAACAATCAGGTGGTACAGGAGTGGATAGGGATCTTGCCCGGTAGGTGTGGCATAGGAGGTACTGTGTGGCTGGGCTCAATGCATGGTTGCTTTCGCCTGCCTGGGACTAGAGGGGGCAGAGAGAGGGATGGAGGGAGGGAAGAAGGAAGGCGGGTTGGGCAGAAGAGAAAGCAATTAAAAATAAAAATACAAGCCAAAGAAAGCAGGCAAACAACAGTCAGAAAAAATAATTTAATCAAAAATAGAAAATAAAGGGGGTAAAGCAAGATAAGCAAAAGGAAAGAGAAAGAAAGAAATATAGTAAGTGAAACGAGGGCAGAGAAAGAAAAGAAAGAATGCAGAAAGGAATGAGTAAGAGAGAGGGGAAAGAGGAGAAGGGATAAACAGAAAAGAAACAGAATAAAGGAAAGGGAAAAGGAAACGGAGAAAGGATCCACAACACAATGGAAGAAAAAGAAATGAAAAAAAAAAAAGACAAGCAGAAAATTGGGGCAGGAACAGGACCCAGACAGGAGCAAACAGTGGAGGGCTGGGTATGAGCCATATGAGCCCACACCCTCTACCAGCCAGGGAGTTAATTGGGGATGGAGGAGAAAGGAGAGTGGGAAGGTGGTGTTCCTGCTGACCCAGCTGTCCTCTGGGGTCAGGGATCTGATCTGGAAGCCATCCTCGCAGGCTCAGATGGTGACTAAGGTCAGAGTGTTGTGCCCAGAAAGGAGCTCAGGTCCCAGAGGGCTACTGGGAGCCTGGCATGTGGTTATGGGAGGAAGTTTGTACCCCCAGAGTGTCCAGCGACAGGCTGCGTGTCCAGCACTGTGCTTTCTGCCCTCCTGATGAGACACAGCTCACACACATCACACCACCAGGAATCAATCCACAGGGACACAGCTCTAAGTTCAGATGGTGGAAGTGGAAGGGGGTGATAGCTGGCTGATGGATGGGTGAGGGTATGGGCTGGCCACTTCTCTGGTCACCAGGAGGTTATGGAGACCAAAAGACCCTCCCACCTTTCCCATTGTCAGCCACCAGTGTGGACGCTCGTGCAGGTTCTGAGCACCACGTCAGGCCTGCCGACAATCCACCCATGTGTCTCCTGTCTGGGCACCTTCATTCAGCTTCTCCTCCCAGTCAACATTCCACCCTCTTGTCTGTCCTTTCCTCCAAAGCCAGGGCTCCGGGATTATTATCATCCATGTCTGCTTCGTCTGATCTCTTGTCTTGTGTCCTTGTTGTAGAGGCTCTGTGTAGCAGTCCCAAACATAATGCTGAACGCAAGTCGCCAAACATAAAACGGTACACGCTGTGTGCCCCCAGTGCTTAGGCAGATCAAAAGCAAAGCAAGGAGGAGTCATGACAGTGATTATATTGCTGGAACGAGTGGCGAGGAAGGCTCAGTAGAGTCTTCCGAAGAAGGCTGGGATGGTCTATAGCTTGATCTGAATTGGTGGTCCTGTGGGTGGAAACACATACAATTTTCAGATAAACCAGACTATGTGCACTTGACCACGTGTAAGTCATATCAAAGCCATTACTGTCAAGTACATTCCAACTCATCCTGACTGCCTAGGATAGAGCCAAACTTCCCCAGTGCGGTTTCCAGGACTGTCAGCTTTATTAAAGAAGGCAGCCACGACTCCCCCACCCCCCCACCCCCCCACCCCCGCAGTGGACTCCCACTGCTGACCTGTCACTTCATAGCTGACCACATAGTCCCTGTGTCACCAGGGCTCCTTCCTGTACTGGCTCGGCGCTCCATAAATAAGCAGTGACACGCAACCTGCATCAACCATAGCCCCCACACACAGCAAGTGAGCTCAGTATTTGCCCCTCTTTCTCGTGCCCTTTCTGGGGACCGCAGGATCTCCGTCTGCGACGAGGACAAATTTGGCCACAACGAGTTTATTGGTGAGACCAGATTCTCTCTCAAGAAGCTGAAGCCCAACCAGAGGAAGAACTTCAACATCTGCCTGGAGCGGGTCATCCCAGTGAGTGCCTTTGCCTGGGACACGTGCGGGGAGGGGAGGGGGATTACGGGTCCCTTCTGCATCTGCAGAGGGAGAAAAGGATGCCCAGGGTAGTTGGGAGCAAGGGGTCTACGTTTCGGCCAGGAGGGTGCCTCCAGGCTTGGCCTTTTGCAACCCTGAGGTTCCATCAGTTCCCCAAGTGTCAGTGTGATTGTATTAGTCTGGGTGCATTAGAGAAACAAATCCACAGAAACTCATGTATAAGAGAGAGCTTTATATCAAGGTTAAGTGTGCATCAAGTAACTATCCCAACCCAGTGCTGCCCAAACCCACAAGTCCAACATTAACCCATATATCCAACACCAATCCACAAAGTCCTCCTCCATCTCACAAAACACACAACGATGCTGACTGCAAGAAGAAAGCCAAATCAGTGAACATGTAAGCATCTTGGCGCTGGCAGGGGTCTCCACACAGCTGCTCCAGCACCCAGGGCTACATCAGAGTAGGTCCATGCGGCTTCTCCTCGGGGATGTCTTTCAGGAAGTGAGCCTTGCCAGTTCAAGCAGGGAACTGGTTAAGGCAGCTGCACCCTGGTCCGACCATCACAAAGCAAGAGACCCAAGAACTTGAAAGGCTGGGCTCACTGAGCCATCTATCCCTCTGCCCTTCCATTAACCCCGCATGTGTTTATCGGCCAGGTTGACAATAAACTAACTACCTCAGTGGTCCTTGGTGAAAGTGGGAAGCGCAGTGTGGCTAACGTCAGCCAAGAGAAGGAATGAGTCTGAGCCTCCGTTTTCCTGCCTGTAAAGGGCACGGTGCCCGTGCTCCTGCACGGGAACACTGCGTGGGCTGAAAGTCACGGAGCGCAGCACTCAGGAATTGCCCACGTGTTGGGACTGTAGGGATTCTTCCGCCTGGCCCACCGGCCAGTCCTGAAGTCCCAAAGCACAACGCAGAGAAGCAGAAGAAGAGAGCAACTGCCCTGCCCCCTCCTTACTTGCCAGCATGGCCAGGCGCCAAAGGCCGGGTGATGATGTGAACAGGAGCATTCTGCAAAAAAATGGAGGATGATGACATCATTGCAGCACGGCCAGGTTACACCATCACGCAACTTGTATCGTTACGCAATTGCCACGTCTCCTTAGAGACAGATCGTGTAACTGCCAAACCGCCGAGAATCCTGGCTCGGCCAAGCGGACACCTCACCTGAACCATCACCTCCACCTTGACACGGGTGACCCCCCTAGACACAGGTCACTAAGGCACAACCTGGCTGGACAGTCGCTTGTCTTTTGTAGGCTTGTCATAAAGATCCAACATCAGAGAGCGAGCTAGTTGAGACGTGAAGAACCGTGCAACGCCATGCGGAAGGGCCTGGGCTGTGAAGCCAGACGCAGCTGTTTCTCTACTGTGCAACCTGAGACAGATAACGTAACCTCTCTGGGCCTCCATGTCCAAGCTGCACAATGGGGATCCTACAGCGCCCGCTGCACAGGAGCGTCTCAGGGTCCAGTGAGGGCGTGCGCATAAAGCATCAGAACCATTGTCATTCATCATTGTCGTCCCTGGGTGTGGTGCTTGCCCTCAGAGAAAAAGCAAGGACCAGATGGGAGTTCGGAATCGCTCATGGATCCTAAAGCCAGAACTTTACCGACTGAGGTTTGTGGGCTTCTCCCTCGGAGGTTCTGCCTTGCACTGTAGCCCCAGCCCATGGCCTCGGAGTTTATTCCGACGCATCGCACCCTCAGCAGGGTTTCTGAGACTCTGAACCTTTAGGGGAGCAGACCGCCTCCTCCTTTCCCCATGCAGAGCGACTGACAGGATTGAACCACACACAGAGAAATAAGTCCTTTTGAGATCAGCCTGGCTGTGCTTATTTGTGGGAGGAGCTGCCCAAATTCTCCTGCAAAGCAATGACTGTGGTGGAGCCCGGGGCTGAGAGCCAGCTCCCTGTGGGGAACCTGGGGGGCAGGAGGGGGAAATCTTGCTGCGTCCTCCCACCAGATGGCCGGCCCAAGAGTGGACTCTCCGCGCACCATGCCGCCATTGAGTGGTGCTGGCTCAGAAACAGACCTAGCAAGACCTTCCTTGCGAGGAAGCTTCACCCCCCCACCCCACCCCCAAAGCCCAGGCTACAGGCAGATTGCTTGGGAAAATCCTAGGTGTGTAGCTCTCCGGTGAGGCTTTACCTGGTGGCCGGCTCTCTTTCCTCATTCCCTGAGCCTGAGCTCCTGGGGCTGCCTGCCTTGCTGTGTCTGACACCAGCAGTCCCTGAGCCATGGAGGACGAGGGGCAGGGAGAAGCTGTGGCAAATCCAGGTCCTGCTTCTCCCCCGCCCCCTGACCCCCAACCTTTCCCCCTGGGGCTCCCGGGAGGACTGGGCCTCGCGTCTAGACCTCATTCTTCCTCTCCTGGGAAGTGGACAGATGGAATGGAACCAGAGGTGTTCAGAGTGGGTTCTCTAGACTCTTCCACAAAACCAAACTCATCGCCATCGAGTCCACGCTGACTCAGGGACTCTCTAGGACAGGGTAGAACTGCCCCTGTGGGGCTCCGAGACTATGGCTCTTTACGGGAGCACAAAGCCTCATCTTTCTCCGAAGGAGTGGTTGGTGGGTTCGAACCACTGACTGTGTGGTCAGCGGTTCAGTGCCTAGCCCGTTCAGACCTTTATAATCCAGCAAAAGAACGTCTTGAGCCAGGGGGCAAAAGGGTTCAGCCACTGACTGGCTGTGTGGCCTTGAGCAAGTGACGTAGTCACTCTGAGTATCCGTGTCCTGGTCCGTCAGGGGGGATGGGGAGAGAGTCTACGTTGCCAGGAATAGCTGTGCTAACGGGGTCTGCTGTGGGGCGGGCCTTAGGTACATTTTAGCTCATGGGGGGAAGCAAGAGGGTCCTGGGGCCTGGAACCACCCACCCTACCCCGCCCTGGAGGGTGCTGGATGCTCACGGGAGTGGGGGCTTCTGCCTGAAGACCATACACCCTTTCTTTTCTGTCTCCTTCTCTGAAGATGAAGCGTGCTGGGACCACCGGCTCCGCCCGAGGCATGGCCCTGTATGAGGAGGAGGTGAGCCCCAAGGGGACCGAAGACCCTGCCTCCCCTGCCCTGGTCCTTCCCCCATGTGATCCCATGACCCCTGGCCACTGGTTCGCCAGCAGAGCTGCCCTTTACCCCCCGGCTCTAGAACAGGAGACCAGGGCAGGCTACCCACACCCTGAGTGAAGCCTGCGGGGTGGGGGGGCCCTCCTGCACTCATGCCTGAGGGTTCAGGGGTCTGACCCCTCGGCCCGGTGAGCAGACCCTCCTTGGACAATCCTCATCACTGGAGTGGTGACATGTCCCCGCTTGAGGGGGTCTGGGAGCAGGTGTGCTTGAACCAAACCCCAAACCCCAAGCCCTCAGGCCCCAGGGATGGCGCTTCTGAGGAGAGGCTGGGCTCAGGGTCATCTGAGAGCGGTCAGTGCTCCAACTGGGGCCAAGGTCAGGGCTCAGTCCTGGGTCAGAGTGAGGTCAGCCAGTGACCAGGAGAGAACTCCGCCTAAGAGCAGCGCCAGGCTCCCTGCATGTCCACTCAAAGTGGAGCTGCCTGGCCGAGTACCTCCCACTCGCTGGCCTCCCTGGCCCTCGGCCTCTCCAGTGTCCTAACTGCCATTTGTCCCTCCCTGCCACCCTCGGTGCTGGCCCCCCTTCAGCAGGCCTGGCAGCCCACACCCTCTCCAGCCTCTTCCCTAAAGCTTAGCGCCCCTGGTCTGCGGTCCCTTCCCCTTCACCCTCCTCCCGCCCCCAAGTTGACACGCCCTCGTCCCCCGACAGCAGGTGGAGCGTATTGGTGACATCGAGGAGCGTGGCAAGATCCTGGTGTCGCTCATGTACAGCACGCAGCAGGGGGGCCTGATCGTGGGCATCATCCGCTGCGTCCACCTGGCCGCCATGGACGCCAATGGCTACTCAGACCCCTTCGTCAAGCTGTGAGTCTGTGTCTGGGGCCATGAGTGGCCCTGGTGGGGAACCCAGCTCCTTGGGCAGGGAGAGCCAGAGGGCTGAGGTCACATGCCGAGGTCACGCAGGAGCAGGGAGACCAGGCCCAGGCCTGGCTGGAGTGGGGCCGGCATCTCAGGCAACCTGACTGGCGTGCCAGTTGCCAGTCTGAAGCTGTGTGGCTCTGTCCCTTCTGTGGAGAAGGGGTGGTCAGCATGGTCCTGATACTATGGGGTCCACCCTTCCAGCAGCTCAGGGCCCCTCCACCCAAGTACAAACTGGCTTTTCCCAGATTCCACCTGGAAATGCTCCCCCAACAAACAAGCAAAAGGCCTTAGATGCTGGGGTGACGGCTATCGCCTCCATCCTGGGGAGTCAGACAGGACTCAGTGACCCTTGTCAGTTCAGATGCCCTGAGAAGATGATACCAGGGGGCATCCAATGCCCAAGGAGCTTCTTGGAGGAGATGTCTCAGTGAGGGGCAGTGGGGCAGGGACAGGGGTGCGGGGCGAGCAGGCTGGGAATCTGACCCGAGAGAAAGGACAAGGCAGGATGCTGTCTGGGTGCTCTCTGCTCCGCAGGGATCCCCAGGGGCAGCCTCAGCCATCAGAGGAGCCCCTAGGAGCCGATGGGCCTTGGCGGTTCCCCCAAGCTCAGCCATTGGCTGGGCCCAGCATGGCAAGGCTGCCAGGACCTGCCCCAGGGCCCTGGGCGTAGAGGTGGTGCACTGATGCCGTCTCTCATGCCCACCACTGTATCATCCCAGGTGCAGTGCTATTCCATGCTCTCTGCTAGCCAGGCGACTGCTAATAAGCTATCGGCCTCTCTGAGCCTCCGTTCCTCGTTGATAAGATGGAGACAATACTCAGTCCTCTTATCTTGGAGAGTGAGCGTAAGGTTCAAATGTGACCTTGTATACGGATCCTGGAGTCTAACGTGATCTAACGTCAGTAAAGCCCTCCTAGCCATGGGGTGGCAGACGTGTTTCGCCAGAGATGGCTGAGAGCCCAGACCCTGAGTCAGAGCCCCAAGTCTAACACCAGTTGTTGCCATGGTGACCCCAGGCGTGTCCGACGAGGGCATGCTCCACTGGGGTTGTCGGTGGCTGGTTCTTCTTCCTGATTTAGTTTTGGAAGTAGATCGCCAAGCCTTTCTTCCGAGGCACTCTGCAGCAGACGCCAATTGCCGACCTTTCCCATAGCAGCCAAGGGCATTCACCATCCGCACCCCCCAGGGATTGCTGTTGTCAGGTGTTGGGGAGTCGGTTCCAACTGGCAGCACCCCAATGCCAAAGAGGGCGAGAGACCACCCAGTCCTGCGCCCCCCATGGTGTCAGACCAGCTTGTCGAAAGGTCTTCCTTTCCTGCTGCCCCTCAGCTTTACCAAATGTGATGTCCTTCTCCAGGGACTGGTCTCTCCGGACAGCATGCCCAAAGGGAGAGGCTGCCATCTTCTCTAGCTGTGGGACCCTGGGCTCTTGGCTGGCCCGCCTTGGGCCTCCATATCCCCATCTGTAAAATGGGGATGGTCCTATTGTGCATGAGGTCAGTCTTTTAAGAAGCTGACGCCAAGCTGCTTGAGCTTTCTGGTGAGCGGCACTGCGAGGAGGGCCAGGGGAGTGCCACAGGTCTGACCCCTGTGGAGGAGGGCGGGAAGGAAGGAAGCTTGGGTAGGATGTCTCAGAGGGCAGTGGAATCCTGGGGGCCAGCCGTTCCAGTGGGATAACCGTGCATCTCCAAGGCATGGCCAGGGGCAACCCATGACAAGCATGGTCTTGGCTGGGTGTGAATGCCTACCCTGGCAGCCCAGTCACTTCCTCCTCCTGCAGCTGGACACCCATGGCGTTGGGGACCGAGTAGGTGCTCGATTGCTGTTTGCCAGGGCGATGATCAATAACGCCGGTCACTGATAGAACTGGAAATAGCCCTTAGCAGCGTCCTGTCCCGCCTGGGACACACCCCGGCCCGCCACAGCCTGTGATGTCAGAAAGCAACGTTCCCCTCGATCTGGGAACGAGTGTGTGCAAGGCCCCTCTTGCAGTCTTTGCTCCCTGGAAGATGTAGGTCACAAAAGACACGCCTGTCCGGCACGTGTTTAAATGACAAGAGCAACTGCCCTGCCTGCCAGCAAAACCCCAAACCAAACTAAACTCACCGCCATGGAGTCGATGCCAACTCACGGGGTAGACCTGCCCCCGTGGGTTCCGGGGAGCAGAGAGCCTCCTCCTCTTTCTCTGGCCATGAAATCCCAGCCCCATGCAAATTGGGTTACTTATGGCACTCGCCCCATCCCCCCCTCTCCCTCCTAGCATCTTGCCAGGCCTAATGGGCAATAGATGGGGGTTCGCTGGACACTGGCAGCCGTCAGCAGCCCCAGCTCTCGATTGGACCCCGGGGAGGCCTTGGGGGCTGAGTACACAGATTCAGGAGCCTGCAGAGCCAGGCCGTCACTGCCCAGCTGTGTGAGCTGAGCTCAAGCCCCACGCTCTGGGCCCCCCTCTGCTTCCTTGTCTGTGAAGTGGGTTGAGCGCCTTGGAGCGCCCCAGCTCTGGGTGAGGGTGAGAGCCTCCTTGGTGATTAACCTTCATCCAGACAGCCTGTTCTGTCCCCTCCCAGCTGGCTGAAACCGGACATGGGAAAGAAGGCCAAGCACAAGACGCAAATTAAGAAGAAAACCTTGAACCCCGAGTTTAATGAGGTACGGCCGCCCCGTTTGTTCTTTGTTACGGCCTGAGACAGTGTCCAGGTCTCAGGGAGGTACACGCCAGCTCCTGGCTCAAACCCATTGCCATTGAGTCGATGCCAACTCACAGCCACCCCAGAGGACTGGGTAGAGCTGCCTGTGGGTTTACCAGACTTTCACTCTATGGGATTAGAAAGCCTCGTCTTTGTCCCACTGAGCAGCTGGTGGATTTGAACTGCTGACCTTGAAGTGAGCAAGCAGCTCAAAGTGTAATCCTCTATGCCAAGGGGGAGCTCCTGACTAGAGCATTCTCAATCACATTGAGGGGAAAAGAACAGAGTTTAGCCCGAGTTCTAGGTCAACCAGCTTTAAGGGAATCTGCTTTGTTACCAAAATGCCACTGTCTATCCCCAGTTTTTGTACAGGGTTCATTGAACGGAGGCTGGCAGCGGGTAGGGACCTTCGTTATACAGGGTATTTGTGGAAAGGGAATTGTTGGGCCTGGGGTCAAGGCTCAGAACGGAAGCCCCACCCCACCCCTGGCTCCCAGAATGTCCCTTGAGCCCCCTGGGACTCAGCCTCTTAATCCCAGGCCCCTCTCACTCCTGTGTCTGCCCCCCTCTGCTGCTCACAGGAGTTCTTCTATGACATCAAGCACAGTGACCTGGCGAAGAAGTCACTGGACATCTCAGTCTGGGACTACGACATCGGCAAGTCCAATGACTACATCGGTGAGTAGCCCCAACTTCAGAGAGGCCAGCCTGACCCGGCCACCTCCCCTTCACATCCACACCGCCCCAGTGCCACCTGGGGCCCAGGACCGAGTGTCTCCTCCAATCTGGAAATGCCCGCATGGGAAGGCCTTCCCAAGCCAGGCCCAGGTGATCTTGCTGCTTGTTTGCAGAACCTGCCACACCTGGGCAGGTAGATGCAGCCGCTCTGTTTCATGCTGCATCAATCACCTTGCTCTTGGCAGATATCTGTATCAACCCTGCCTGGGGCAAGTCCGCGGCACCATTGTTTCCCCAACAGGTGGGCCCAGGCTCACCTTGTGACTCCCTGTCCCAGGTTGGTCATTGTGTTAGTCTTGGTGGACTAGAGAAACAAATCCATAGACGCTTGCATGTGTATAAGAAAGAGCTCTATATACAAGAGCAATTGAATATTGAGAAAACATCCCAGCCCAGTCCAGATCAAGTCCATAAGTCTGATATTAGCCCATTTGTCCAATCCCAATCTATGAAGTCTTCTTCAGACTCACGAAACACATGCCATGATGCCGAATGCAGGAAGATCACAGGCAGTGGGTGGGAAGTCTTGTGGATCCAGTGGTGTTCTAAGCATCTCAGCGCTGGCAGGGGTCTCCACGTGGCTTCTCTGGCTCCAGAGGTCTGGCTCCATCAGCCTCTTTTCATGTGTCTTCTCCACAGGGATGTCTCACAGGGAGTGAGTATATAGGGAGAGTGTCTCCCGCCTCCAAGCAGGAAGACAGGAGTTCCCAGAATCCTCAGGAGAAGGCTATGCCCACACAGAGGCCTCATTAGCTATGACCTGATTGACAGGCTAGGCTCCACCCCTTCACTCTGAATCCTCTCAAATTGACAAGCAATTATATAATATTGTCAGTCATTCTCACAGTATCCCCAACACTTCCACAGTGCTTGTGCACACACCATACCTGGTAAGTGGGAGGCCAGGGACAAGGAGGAAACAGACTGACATGGCAGCTCCCACAACGGGCTTACACATAAGCCACAAGGAGGGTGCAGGGCCAGGCAGTGCCCCCAGTTGTACACGGGGTCGCTATGAGTCGGCATCACCTCGGCGGCTTCTCACAATCACACACTCAGTGGACCAGAGTCTCCTGGGGGAAGCTGCAGGCTTCCTGTACCAAACCCACATGTCTCAGGTCTCCCTGTAAGGAGGTACCAGGCCAGAGGGGCCACATCTGTGCAGAGAAGAAGGGGTACAGGGTCTCCTTCCTGACATGCACATCCTGTAGGCTTTTATGTCAGCAGCCTGGCTCAAGGGGTGGCTCCGGTTTGAGCCGGCAGTGACAAGTATCCGGCAAGTGGTTCATTTCAGCGAGCAACGAGGTGGCTGGTGGTGGTGGTTGATGGCTGTCAGGTTGGCGCTGGCTTAGAGTGACCCATTTTTCACAGAACAAAGCATTACCTGGTCCTGTGCCACCTTCCCTTCCATCAAGCCGATTCTGACTTATAGCAAACCCTATAGGACAGCGTAGAACTGCCCCCATGGGTTCCCAAGATGCTCGATCTCTATGGAAGAAGGAAGACTCCTCTTTCCCCCGCGGAGCAGCTGGTGGTTTTGAACTGCAGACCTTGAGGTTAGCAACCCCACGTGTAGCTGGGAGGAGTCTGCTGTTGGCAGTGTGTTGGTGCTTAGGTTTAAACGGTCGTCCGCACAGTCCTGGGTGCATTTGACGCCACTCTTGAGGCATTTGGGGTCACTGTAATGTAAGGTGACCAGATTTTAACATTGGTAAAGCAGGACACCATAGATAAAACTCATATCCTGGCGAAATAGCCACATGGCAGCCGAAAACCGTATACCCTAGCTTGTCGTGCATTCTTTCCAAAAATCGGGACTGTTTTAAAATGCCGCGGGACGCAGGA